TGGTACCAGGGATCGAACTTGGAATCTGTGGCAGAACCACTGAGCTAAATCCCCAGTCCCTATTTTCTTACTATTTTTGATTCCTTGGCTATACGTAACTGTTACATAGTTATCAATTTCTCCTTTTTACATTTCTAGAAGTCTTTCCTTTTTGTATTTCAAAACTAGTTAGATAAACTAAGGTTTACTTTAAATATGTTGCAGAGGATACACAATATATACACACACACACACACACACACACACACACACACACACACATATACATTATTGCAGAATTGTACTTTTTTTGGGGGGATACCAGGGATCGAACTCAGGACCTTGCACTTGTGAGGCAGGTGGTGGAACTACTGAGCTAAATACCTGGCCCCTCAGAATTGTACTTTTATCAGTGTAATAGGACATTTTTTTTCTTATTTTGTCTTCTTTTTTGCCAGGTACATTTTTAATTTTTTTATTTTCAGTCTCGGTCACTGACGAATTTTCCACCTTTTCTCACTATGTAGCCCAGGCTGGTCTCAAACTCACAGCAATCCTCCTGCCTCAGCCTCCTGTGCAGGGATTACAGGTGTGTGCCACCACGCCCGGCTCCAGTGGGTTACTCTTAAAATTTTAAGAGTATGTAAAAATATTTTTGTAATGAAAATATTTTTTATCACTTCAGAATTAATAGCTTCTCCCTGAGCATAACAGGAATTGTAACATTTGTATGTTCTCTGCCCCATGTATGTTGCAAGTGCCTCAAATTTTTTAAAAATTTATTTTTAATTAAAAAAATTTTTTGATGCTAGGGATGCCAGGCAAGTGCTTTACCATTGAGGTACATGCCCTGGATCTAGAATTTTAGTTCTAGTTATTTTCACTTTATAAACTAATTAAATTTACTTGTAGGGGCGGGGATGTCTGGCAAGTTCTGGCAAGTACAAGGTCCTGAGTATGATCCCCAGAACGGGGGGGCGGGAGGGGGAGAAATTTACCTGTAGATGTTACTGTTTTTTGCTTACATCGCCTCTTCTATCCTACATCTTCATTTTATGATTCATTTAAAAATGTTGCCATCCTTCAGTAATTGTTATTAAAATACTGCAGTGGGTGATACAAATATTCTTTGCAGAGCTGACAATGTTTGTATTTTGGCCTCATACTTTAATATTGCAGTAGGAACAGAATTCTAGGCTTAATTATTTTTCCCCCTTTGGAGACTTTGTAGATGTTGTTCCATGTCTTCAAAGAGCCAGTGTTACTATTTTCTTTCTTTTTTTTTTTTTTCTGGTACCAGGGATTAAACTCATGACCTTAAGCTTTGGAGCTAAATCCAGCCCTACTAATTTCTGTTTCTACATGGATTTGCAGTTTTCCTCTCTCCAGAAGCTTTTAGACCTTTCTTTTTAACCTTGGCACTTCACGTCAGTGTGATGATAATTGCAAATGTTAAACACATTGACTTTTCAATCCTCACAGCTCTGGAAAGGAAGGTCACTCATTACCCACACTTTATAGATGGTACAGCGAGGATAGTTAAATAATTTACCCAGCTTCACTCCCAGCAGGGAGTTTCAGGGCCAAGCTTTAACTGCAGGAAATCGGATTCTACAATCCCCGAAACCCCAGTTTCCCTGCTTTTCACTCATAGGACTTAGCACTCGGTAGGTGCTCGCAATATCAAGCTCTGCACCTTTCTGCTTAGAGCAACTTTTGAGGGTTGTTTCTTTTATTTCTTTCTCCATCATCTGTCTCTGTACTCTGCTTTTGTAACTTCAGTAAGACAGATTTGAGGTCTCTTAGATTGAGCTTTCAACTCTCTCTTCTTACACATTTCATTCTGTTTGAACTGTGACATTTCTTCAACTTTACTTTCCATATTTTAAAAAGTCAGTCTGTTTGTTTGTTTGTTTTAATACTGGGGATTGAACTCGGGTCCTTGCGCTTTCGAGGCAGGCACTGGAACCACTGAGCTAGATCCCCGGCCCAAAAAGTCAGCTTTGACTGTATCAATTAACTGTGTTCATTCATTATTTAGTTTATAGTTCAATTTTCAAAAAAATTTTAATTTTTTTACGTTCTAAGAATTCTCTTTTAATGCACTGTTCCTATAAGTGTTTGTTTGTTTTCTTCAGTGTTTGGTCATCTTGTCTATTGAGATTTGCAAATAGGGGAGGAGTAGGTTGATTAGTAAAGACAAATGACAGGTTTTCTCCTGCCTTAGACAGGAAAGCACTCAGCAGACCTCTGTATACTGGAACATGATTGAAATCTTCACTTTGTACTTCAAAACAGTTGAAATCTGTTCAAACTAATATAAATTCATAAATAAAAAGGCATATGTTAGTGGCACATGGCAAGATTTTTCATTTATGGAGTACAAAATCAAAAACTTTTTGGGCCAGGGATTTTAGCTCAGTGGTGCCGCCACCTGCCACACAAGCACAAGGACCCAAGTTTGATCCCCAGTACCAAAAAAAAAAAAAAGAAAACTTTGGAGTCTACTGCTACAGTTTGACCATAGTTTTTCTAACTAAGCAGATTTGAATCCAAATGATGATTCTGCAACTATTTATTTTGTACTTTAAGATAAGCCACTTAGCTGAGCTTCAGGTGACTTTCTTATAATAAATAGAAGGGTTACTACTAAGCATTTTGTAAGAATTACATGTAGTTTCCTATCTTTGGAGATGTTATTAAATTAATAACATAGATATAAAAACTTTTAAAAATAGATGCTATTGCTGTAGGTAGAATGTCATTTTTAATTAATTTTATGAATTCCATAGGGTTATTTTAAGAGCTCCCTACGTTGCTAAAGAATTTTTGAAGAGGAGTCAGTATAAGCAGATGATTGGCAGAGCTGGTCGTGCTGGAATAGATACCGTTGGGGAAAGTATACTTATATTGCAAGAAAAAGACAAGCAAAAGGTAATGCTCAATCTGGTCAGTTGTGTCCCACCCCCAGTCTTTGGTCTGTCCCTCATAAAAGGTCATCTTTTAAAAGCTTATGTTTCTTTATACGATGCATCTTTCACCTATATGATGAAAATTAGGACGTGTACTTTGAAGATTTTTATATTTCAGTGATGAAAAGTATTTTCCTGTTACATTATTTTTTTAATTTTTAAAACAGAGTCGCACTGTATAGTTCAGACCAGTCTTGAACTCACTGTGTAGAGCATGCTGGCCTCGAACTTGCAACAATCCTGCCTCAGCCTCCCAAGTGCTGGGATTACTGGTGTGCACCACCACACCTGGCTATCTTTTCTGGATTTTTTAAAAATTTAATTTATACCATTGTCCCCCTCCCCTCAAGTCCCTCCCTCCATGGACAAAAGCTTTGTTTCCACTTTTTCCTTCTATTTTCATGTTTTTTCTCGTCCCTTTCTCCCTCCCTCCTCCCTTGTTCCCCTTCCCTTTTGAGCATTTGCTTCCCATTTCCCAATATCTGTTATACATTTCAGCCCTTATTTCCACTTTCAGATTCTCACACCAGAGAAACAACGAAGTATATAAATATGTGTATCCAGTTTATTTCCCTTAAGAGCGTGGTTGTAAGGAGCACGCATTTAGCTATGAGTGTCTGAAGCATCCTTCCTTTTATGCAGAGTAGTACTCCATTGTATTTAAAAAAAAAACCCACATCTTCTTGCATTGTCCTTTTTTATTTTAGTTTATTTTTTGATACCAGAGATTGAACTCAGGACCTTTTGGTGGAACCACTGAGCTAAATCCCCAGCTAAACTCACATCTTCTTTATCCATCTGTCAGTTAATGGGTGTTTGAGCTGTTTCCAACGTTTAGCTATTACTAATTGTGCTGCTATAAACACGGGTGTGTGTATATCACTGTAGTCTGATGTTTTTAATTTTCCAGGAACTTACCAAGAAGGGGAGTAGTTGGGTTGAATAGAACCTCTAGTTTTAGCTTTTTGAGAAATCTCTACACTGATTTCCATAGTGGTTGCAGCAGTCTGCACTCTCACCCACAGTGGAAAAGGGTTCCTTTTTCCTCAAACCCCTTCCAGCATTGGTTATTGGTTGATTCTTTCTTTTTTTTTTCCCCTTTTGTGCTACCAGGGATTGAACTCAGGACCTTGCACTTGTGAGGCAGATATTGTACCACTGAGCTAAATCTCTAGCCCCCATGTTATTGGTTAATTCTTGATAGAAGCCGTTCTTTCTGGAGTAAGATGGAACCTCAGTGTTGTTTTAATTTGCATTTCATAAATGACCAGTTGTGTAGAGCATGCTGGCCTCGAACTTGCAACAATCCTGCCTCAGCCTCCCAAGTGCTGGGATTACTGGTGTGCACCACCACACCTGGCTATCTTTTCTGGATTTTTTAAAAATTTAATTTATACCATTGTCCCCCTCCCCTCAAGTCCCTCCCTCCATGGACAAAAGCTTTGTTTCCACTTTTTCCTTCTATTTTCATGTTTTTTCTCGTCCCTTTCTCCCTCCCTCCTCCCTTGTTCCCCTTCCCTTTTGAGCATTTGCTTCCCATTTCCCAATATCTGTTATACATTTCAGCCCTTATTTCCACTTTCAGATTCTCACACCAGAGAAACAACGAAGTATATAAATATGTGTATCCAGTTTATTTCCCTTAAGAGCGTGGTTGTAAGGAGCACGCATTTAGCTATGAGTGTCTGAAGCTCATCCTTCCTTATGCAGAGTAGTACTCCATTGTATTTAAAAAAAAACCCCACATCTTCTTGCATTGTCCTTTTTTATTTTAGTTTATTTTTTGGTACCAGGGATTGAACTCAGGACCTTTTGGTGGAACCACTGAGCTAAATCCCCAGCTAAACCCACATCTTCTTTATCCATCTGTCAGTTAATGGGTGTTTGAGCTGTTTCCAACGTTTAGCTATTACTAATTGTGCTGCTATAAACACGGGTGTGTGTAGTCTGATGTTTTTAATTTTCCGGGAACTTACCAAGAAGGGGAGTAGTTGGGTTGAATAGAACCTCTAGTTTTAGCTTTTTGAGAAATCTCTACACTGATTTCCATAGTGGTTGCAGCAGTCTGCACTCTCACCCACAGTAGAAAAGGGTTCCTTTTTCCTCAAACCCCTTCCAGCATTGGTTATTGGTTGATTCTTTCTTTTTTTTTTCCCCTTTTGTGCTACCAGGGATTGAACTCAGGACCTTGCACTTGTGAGGCAGATATTGTACCACTGAGCTAAATCTCTAGCCCCCATGTTATTGGTTAATTCTTGATAGAAGCCGTTCTTTCTGGAGTAAGATGGAACCTCAGTGTTGTTTTAATTTGCATTTCATAAATGACCAGTGATGTTGAATTTTTTATACATTTATTTGCCATTTTAAATTCTATATCTGAGAAATGTCTTTTCTTTTCTTCTTTTTTTTTTGGTACCAGGGATCAAACTTGGGTCCTTGCACTTGCGAGGCAGGCGGTGGCACCACTGAGCTAAATCCCTGGCCCTGTCTTTTCACTTTAGATCTGTCTATCTTTCTTGATTTTATAAGGATACCTGTTAAATTCTTATTCTTTTATCTTTTCAGGTGGTTTGGTTTGGTCTGGTTTCTCCTTGACTTTATAAGATTTATGCAGAATATAAAATCTTTACATGGAAAGCCACTTATTTTTATAATTTTAATATTTATTTGTTTATTTATTTTGGTACTGGGGAAGTGAACTCAGAACCACATGCAAGAGCAGGTGTGACACCATTGAGCTAAATACCCGACCACCATTTTTGGTTTTTTGGTTTTTTTTTTTTTGTACTTGCGAGGCAGGAGTGGGGCCACTGAGCTAAATCCCCTGCCCTATTTATTTATTTATTTATTCCGTTGTTTTGGTACCAGGGATCGAACTCAGGACCTTGTGCTTACAAGGTAGGCAGTGGTGGCCCTATTTACTTTTAATAATAACAGAAAAAGCTAACATCATAATATTGCTTTAACTTTTACAGGTCTTGGAACTGATAAGTAGACCACTAGAAAACTGTTATAGCCATCTTGTTCAGGAATTCAACAAGGGAATCCAAACTTTGTTTCTCTCCTTGATTGGCTTAAAGGTACTTTTAAATCTTACTATCATTACCTGAAATAATAAAGTTAAAATTTATGCAAACTGTATCTGATCCACATAGACCCTCTCTCAAAGTCCCCCCTTTCCTAAACTGAAAACAATAAAAAACTGCTGAGAAAAATTAAAGAAGTCTTAAGAAAATGGAGAAAGCCAGGGATTTAGCTGAGTGGTTCCGCCGCCTGCCTTGCAAGCGCAGGATCTGAGTTCGATCCCTGGCACCAGAAAAGAAAGACAGTGGAGAAAGATACCATATGCGTGAAGTGAAGCATTTAGTCTTGTTCACGTGTTACTTCTCGGATGGATCCATATAGTCTGTGTGATCCTAATAAAATCTCAGCAGTTTATTTTTGGTGGAAATTGCTATATTTTGGTGGAAGGACTCAGGACTTCCCGTGACAGCAGAGCACCCAGGGTAATAGGGAGGCAGGGAACTGATGTGGCCATGTGGCCAGAGGGCTGTGGTTTATCACCCTGGCCCTCACGGCTGTTTCGCTCAGGCTGTTTTAATAACTGGAGTGCAGCCACAGAAGTCCAGGCAGCAGGCAGCTCGGGAGCCGAGCAGGCACCTAGCTGTCATCAAAGCTGCCCGCCGGCAGCAGAAGTCAAGTGACCAGGGCCAGGCCCGAGGAGGACCAGCCAGCAGGGCTCCTTCTACACCTCATGGTGGAGCTCACAGTGGTGCTCTGCTTGTAGAAGGTTGGAATTCTAGACAGGGCTGATAACCAGGGAATCTGTTGGGTTGGAACAGCAGCAGAAGTCCTCTGGACTGGCTGGGATAGGGTTAGAGGGAGGAAGGGCAATATCTTCAACTTGGGCAGCGTGAGGGCAGGAAATGGAGGTGAACGTACCAGTGTCCTTCTTCCCTTCCTGTGTCCAGCTTCAGTCTCAGCCATTGCCTGATATAATCAAGTCTCACTCGCCTTCAGGTTTGTAGGCTGTAGATATCTGCATTACTGAATCTGACCTTGGAGTTAGTTGTGTCTGGCTGAACTTGCAGGTTGGGGCATTGTGAAGAATCTGGCCTTGAGAAACTGTCAGTTCACAGCCACAGACTACCCTGGCAGGGTTAAATAGCTATGTTACAAAAGTTTTTCAGGGAGGGATAGAAAGATGATATACACTGGCTGTGGTGTTACACATGCCTGTGGTCCCAGCACTCTGGGAGGTTGAAGCAGAAGGATTGCAAGGCTGAGCCCAACATGGGGAATTTAGTGACTTAGTGAGAATTTGTCTCAAAACATAAAAAGGGAAACGTGCACTAATAAATAAAAATTGAGGGAAAAAATGGCCAATGAGGCCATGAAAAAAAAGGAATTAAAAAAATGGAAAAGGGCTGGGAAAAAGGGGGGAAGCTGCGATTGTAGCTCTTGAGGAAAAGCCCTGATTCAGTCCCAAGTGCCACACACACAGAGGTAAAGGGATAGAGTAAAGGTGCCTCCCCACCCAGCCAGCCACTGGCCTCCTGCAGTGTTACCTGTAATCAGACAGGTGGGAGACAGTACAGAAACTGCATGGATGATCCACAAACTGAGCATCTGTTCTTTTATGTCTTCAAAGTGTATTTTAGCTTCACTGAATATTACATTAAGAATAATGATTTTTTTAAAAGGGAAGAGAGAAGCAGTAGAAAAATTTCTGTGCCTCATAATAAGTTTTGTTATCCCATATATGGGTTTAATAACTACTTAAATTATTCATTTGAAGTATCATCAGAATTGTGTGAGAGAGCAGCATATTTATTGATTGACCATATTTTAGTTTAACATGCTGATTTCTTTGAAATTGGCTAACAAAAGATTATTCTAATTGAGAGTCAACTCTACATCTGAACACCAAGTGGCATTTAAAATGCCTCTGTAGGGCCGGGGATTTAGCTCAGTGGTGCCAAAACCTGCCTCACAAGCGCAAGGTCCTGAGTTCAATCCCCGGTACCAAAAAAAAAGGAGTAAGAGATAAAATGCCTCTATAAAATTATTCATACCACCGATTAGATTTTATACATTTTTTAAT